TTATTTGTACTGTATATAATCTCAAGAAGAAGGTATATTAACATTATTTCAAAGCCAAATTGCTCTCTACAAACTAGCCTCCTGAAAGAAGAGGGTGGATCACAGATCTCACAATGAATGGAATAATTCCAAATTAAGGGCCTCACTTTCAAGTGAGAAGGACGGATATATAGTCCTCGACTTATGACAGCAATTGGGACTAGAATTTCCATCCCTATGCAATGCAGTCACAAATCGCTTAGCAACATCAATCCCTGCAGTCCCAATTGCTGTTGTTAGCCAAATCCCAAGGTCATTAGGCGAGGCAACTTCCTGCCACCTTCCCACAACTAAGTCAGTGGGGAAGCCAGCAGGAAGTTGCAAATCCCAGACAGCTTGCAAGCAGGCCAGCAGGCAGGTAAGTGGGTGCTGCCAGGTGGGGGAGGGCACGAGGGAGGTGCAGTGAGGGTTGGGAAGGGTCTGCAAAGGCGTGCAGGGGTGTGCGAGAGGCACGGCAAGGGTTGGGGAGGCTGCACGAGGGTGTTCAAAAGTGCAAGGGAGCCATGGCGAGGGTCAGGGAGGGTGGGCAGGGGTGCATGAGTGGCCTGCATGGCACGAGCACAGAGGGGCTGGGGGGAGGGTGCACAGGTGGGGAGACCTACCCCAGCGACTTGTGACCCTTTTTTTCTTTCTTTCTTTTTCATTTTCTTTTTTTTTTTTTTCATTTTCTTTCTGGAGAAGCCAGTAGGGATGGTCACAAGTCATGGTCATGTGATCGTGGGGCATTGCAACTGGTCATAAGTGTGAGCCGACTGCCAAGCACCTAAATTGTGATCATCTGACCATGGGAATACTGGGGCAGCCGAAAGTCTGAGGACTGGTTGTAACCACCGTTGTAACTCCAAATGGTCACTGAATGAACAGTCATAAGTCAAGGGCTACTTGTATATCTAAATGCTTCCAGTTCTTCTTTGCATACAGAAACAAGCAATAAGATGTAAGGTTCAACTAGGACCTAAACAAATAAATAAATGCATCTTCCTGCATGCCAGGCAAGGCTGATATTAGGAGATAATGAGGAGATATCACTCTTGAAAGTTGGTCTTGCAGTGTGGATTATAAACTGCCTTTTGCAATGAAGTAAGACCTTGATTCTGTTACCAAAACACTTAAGGAAATTTGGTGTAATGGTTAAGGTTTTAGGCTAACAGGGCAAAAACTCAGGTTCAGGTTTGACCTTAGCCATGGAAATTCTCTGGGAGACTTTGGGCCAGTCATACTCTCAGACTAACCTAAACCACCAGATGCTTATTTGGGGCAGAAAAATTAAGGGGGAGATCTATATGTATCCCACCTTGGGCTCCTGGAGAATGGGCAGGATATAATTTTAGGCAATAAATAAAATATTCACTTCAGAACAAGAAGAAAAATGAGAAAAATGGCAAAATAAAAAGGATATAAAATGTTGGGGCAATGCTACAAGGTGAAATAGTAACTTTGATGGTACTTCTTAGTAGTGAATGATCTAATTAACACTTTACTGGAACAATAATCTAAAAGAACCCTTCTAAAGAGATAAAACACGGAATTAAACTGGGATGGCCCTGATCACTGAAAATTACATTATTCAGTGATGCTAGAGCTTTATTCTATATCCAATTATTATTATAGTATATATATTTGTTTGCTTATCATATTTATATGCTGCCCATCTCACAGAAACATGACTCTGGGTGGTATACAACAAAACCATAAAAAACAGTAATTACAAAAACACTCTACAATTCAAACATTAATATTACTCTGATGAGAAAACAAAAGGGCTAGGGAAAGCATTAGATGTTACAAGCAGTGCAGCCACCTCATTAAATCCCCATTTCTACAAGACCACCAAGCCTGTTGACATAACAGGTTTCAAAGGATTTCTGGAAGTCCAGTCTCACCTTGGGGGGGGATGATGGGCAGACACCATGGCAGAAAAGACCCAGCTCCTGAGTCCCACTAGATGTAGTTCCTTAGCAGAGGGGACCTGAAGCATACCTTTTCTGCTGGACTTGATGGGATGGGGAGAAGTAATTGGGAAGAGGCAGTCCCTCAAATAACATGGCCCCACACCATGAAGGACTTTAAAGATCAAAACCAGCACCTTGAAGTGAACCTGGAAGCAAACTGGCAACCACTGCAGCTCATGGAGCAGAGGTGTAATGTGTGCTATTCTAGGGGCACACATAACTGCCCATACCACTGCATTTTGCACCAGCTGAAGCTTCTGGATACTTTTCAAGGGCAGCCCCATGTACAGCACATTACAGTAGTCTACCCTGGAGGTGACCAGGGCATGAGTGACTGTGAGCAGAGCCTCCCGATCTAGGAATGGAAACTCCGGCACACAACACAAAGCTGTGCAAAGGCCCTCCTAGCCATGACTGCCACCTGCTCTCTGAGCAGGAGTCGTGAGCCCAGGAGGACCCCCAAGTTATATACCAGGTCTGCCTGGGGCAGCGTAACCCCATTCAGTACCACAGATGGTATAGAACCAGAAGGCCCCAGAATCCAGAGCCACTCAGTCTTATCAGGGTTCAATTGAAGCCTGTTGTTCCCCATCCAAATCCACACAGCCTCCAGACACCAGGATAGGACATCAATAGCATTGCTTAATTTGTCAGATGTATAATTGGGTATCATCAGCATACTGACGATACCTCACCCCACAGTGACAGATGAACTCACCCGGCAGCTTTATGTGGATCTTAAACAGGAGTGGAGAAAGCACTGAACCCTGTGGCACACCACATAGTAGGGGCCAAGGGTGGGAGACCCCCCAATCACTGCCAATTGGTATCGACAATGGAGAAAGGAGGAGAACCAGCACAACACATACTACCCTACCACAATCCCTGGAACGAGTCCAGAATGATACCATGGTTGATGGTATCAAAGGCCACTGAGAGGTCAAGCAGAGTGAGGATGGACACACAAATCCAATTCCACTCTCACCAGAGATCATCCAAAAGCACAACCAATACCATTTCTGTCCCATACCCAGGCCTGAATCCTGACTGAAAGGGATCCAGATAATCCACTTCATCCAGGTTCCTCTGAAACTGCTGCACAACCACCTTCTCCACCATCTTCTCCAAAAAGGGGAGGTTAGATACTGGATGAAAATTGTCCAGTAGAGTGGGGTCCAATGATAGTTTCTCTCTCTTTTTTTAATATCAAGTCATGTTTTATTGAAGGCATTCTCTGATATATGTGTACGTGTATGTGTGTAATTTTTATGAAGAATTTTGATTATACTAGTAAAATCTAATATAAACTAAATTTAAAGAAAGAAAAGAGAATAGAGAGAAGTAAAAAGTGCAAGTAAAAAGAGAAAAGTAAATGTATAATAAAGAGAAAAAATATACAAAGTAATTAGTATAATTATAATAATATATAATTATACTAACCACTTAGTACTGGTAATCAGCTGTCACCTTAAAATAATTTTTTAAAAATCCTCAAAATATAGGTACCTGAACCAATCAGATGCTGCCCTTATAATGCAGTGTCAACTACAGCACTGGAATGACAACAAACCAGAAGTATGACACTCTAACAGCTTCATTGGCTGAATGCTTTCAAAAGTAGTACTTGATTAAGTCAACTGTCTACCTCTTCTATTTCTAGAAATTCTGTATTTTACAAATGACAAATCGCTATTGCAACCTTGACTTGCTGTCCAGCATAGTCACAACTCCCAGATGCCCCCACTCTGACCCTAACTATGTCAATATATAAAAAGTGAATCTTCCAGTAGCTTTCCAGAGAAAATCCAAAGGAAAAAGTTACAAGGAAGACTCCTGGGAATTATTCTATGCCAAAACAGTAGCAAAAAAAGGGATGAAAGCTATAATAAGAGACCGTCAGACAATTGATAATGCTAAAGCTGCAGAAGTAAAGATTATAAAAATAGATGAGTGAGAATATGAAGATGAGTACAAAAGAGGGGGGAAATGAGGCTATAATTGTCCCACCCATTCCCCAAAATATTTTTAAAAGCAGCTGTAATTTCATGAGATTGCCCAATCCCCCAAATTCTCTTAAATTTGATGTTTTCATATGATGTTCTAATTTGAAAAGTTTATTTGAACATAATTTATTTGAACATAAAGACTATTACTTTAATCCAAGAATGGAGCTGAGACCAACAGTGCATTGTTTGTTTTGTTCTGCAGCATGTCTTAGATCTTCCCTCATAAAAGCCACTACCTTCATTCATAACCTTCTGTAACCATGGCATGGGTGATCGCAGCTAAACCTACACCTCTTGAACGTAAACCTACAAGAAATGGCTAAAACCCTTGCAAGAGGTTTTTTGGACCGTGGTCAAGAAGAATTCCAGTGGTTGGATTTCAATGGAAGTCCAATTAATATGCCAGTTTCATTAGGCAGTGATTCACTAATCATTTTTACGTAAGTTGGAAAACAAAGCAAAATCAGTGCCTTCCTGCCAAGTGCTTATAAACAAATTAGAATGTGAATGTGGACAATTGGGTGTGCAGCACTTTGGAACTCAAGTGAAAAAGATGCTTTAAAGCAAGCATAGGTACTTACATAGAACCTGTGGCAACTCCTTAAAGCAGCTGGATCTTTTCCCAGAATCACACAGCAATCCTCTGCAACTGTAGTGCGATTCCAAAGAAAAAGTACTTTTGGGAAGGAGTTGTCAAGAGGTGCTACATGTGAACACATGGGCATTCTGACGCACCTTGTCCTATGTGAAGCTGAAGTCCTGTATAAGCATCATGAACAAAATGGACCTGTAATACGTAAAATCTAATACATTTATTCTGATATAAGCCTTTGATGATTATATTACAAGATCTGTAGCTGATTTCCCAGAAGCAGACCAACAGAAGCATCCCTCTCTGGAAACTATGCAGGTGCTTTCTTTCTTCAATCTAAGTTTTGGAACCATAATCAAACATACCACACAATTATAAAATACTATTTATTACAACTGTGAGAATACTTACCAAGAAATTGGATCCTTGACATGAAGCTACAACTGAATGAGTTGTGTCTCCAAGCTGGACTTGTAATTCCCAGTTGTTTGCATCAGGCTGAGCAATGGAAATCCTAAAACAAAACAAGACAACAAATATTTTAAATAGCTTCAATTTAGTTTCATTAGGCTGGCCAAGAGAATGCTTCTAATTGTAAAGGGCGAAGGGATGGATCTGCTTCTTCAGACTCCACCCGACTCATGCTAGCTTGTGGGGGTGCCAGGTATTTTACAGACTCTAGCCTTACAGGTCTGTGAGGGACGCTTATATTCAGTCTTGGAACAATAGAGGGGAAACAGCTATTTCAGCTCATCTCTTGGGAATCCTAAGTACTTTAGCTTGACATAACATAATGGTAGCTTCTGGGCAGATGTATCTACATTCTAATTCTCCTCTGAGAGTTAGGGCTGCTCTGTAAATAAGCAGTGTCAAAAATATTTACTGTGCTCCTACTGTGGATTTATCTTAAAACATAAGCGAGCTGAACTGTTTTCTTATTAATAGAAGCAGCAATAAAACTATAGTATGGGATTCCAGTGTTAAAAGATAGAAATACATATTTCCAATCTTCTTTACTGTAAATTCATCTGGTCTTGAAAACAAATCCAATTGCAAATTTCAAGAGAAGGAAGCAATATCTGAATATATTTCTGGAAAGAACTACAAGAAGCATATAAATGACTTGTAGACTAATACACAAATCGGTAATATATAAGATTCCCTAAAAAGGAAAATTTCAGGGAATTACTAGTCTCCCAATGCAAACTTTGTATCTTTCAATAACTACCTGTACAATTATACAAAGGAGTTTGTCCTTTCGTACTGTCCTTAAGTTGCATTCTGCTGTGATGTTCCAGACGTTTGACAATTTTTAAGCTATGCCAGCTGCTTACCATGCTAATCATAATTTCACATTGTTACCCTATGCTCTCTTCCATCCTTTTTATTTGGCTACCTGTTCATTATCATAATTGGCCCACTTTTCTCCTTGAGTTCTTCTCCTGTGATTGTATGCCCTTGTTATAACTCAACATATGTTTGGTGATTTCATTCTACTAGAAGCCTATCTTCTTCCTGTTCTCTACAAGTACTACAAATAATCCTATACTATGCTATTTTTTCTTAAATACATTTATAGAAAAGGAAGCCTAGTGAACTTAATCCCAGTACACATTTAGGAAGAATATGTCATCAAGAAATTTCCTGACAACCATCTCACAGAATTTCCTTCCTGACAACCATCTCACTGCTTTATCTTAGGGTTAGATGCTGCTGCAAATAAACGTATCAAGAGATTTCCACACCACATTACAACCTGGCAGAACACATCCCTGCTCAGGCTCCATTCCTGGGATCTAAATCCATTCAGCTGAGCCAGCCTGCCATGGAACTGTGTGTCTCCCTCACATGTTCGATTGAGAGGGTAACTCCTTCACAAAAGAGTGTGAGTTAGTGACACTACAGAAATGCCTTTATGAACCACCTGGAGCCATTGACAAGCTGAAGGAAAAGACCACATACTGATAGCAGGTTCACTAGTACAGCATATATATGGGCATGTAGGAGGAGGCCTCCTGGAGTTTCAAGGTATCAAGCTACTCCAGGAAGGACTGTAATGTTTCCATATGAAACTTATCTCTTGAATATTAATTTGCTGGCTTCAGGTCTAGAACAGCTTTTAATTTGCTGTTCTTTTTAGATACTACATAGATCACATAGCAGACCAAGAAGATCAAATATTTTTGGTGGGTACCACTGGTTTAATTTCTCTGAAATTAACCAATGTTTCTGTTCCTGAAGCTGTCTGGATGATAGGGCAAAGTGATGCTGGGAGGTTTTGGTGAAGCCTACACCTATGAGACATGGTTCATAAAATCCATACATTGGTTATTTAGTTTCACAGGTTGGTAGTTTCCCAATCTCCCATTTACCTAAGGGTTGTGATTGTCATTGCTGTTTGTGCCTCCCCCCACCCCACCCTTTCACCTTTTGAACATTAAGAAAGGTAGATCCTCTTGCAGACTGGACAACTCTTGCTTTGGTTGCAGCTGGGATATTCCCCAAGAGGTACAAATTCCCTTGTGTTCTTGGTTTCTACTCCCATAGCAATAGGATGGAAAGACTGAAAGGGCATAGCATGAGCTATGTTTCCCTACCCCCGAGCTTCCCATTTGATAAAAATAACAAGTTTTCCTCTCTGCAAAAGCATTAGAGTCAACATCAGCATAAGAGAAGACAACCCAATATGCCATTATCTGAAAGTGAGAAAGACACATCCTCATTTTATCAGATACCTGCACATCAAGATGAAGGGGGACAAGAAGCAGACTCCAAAAGAATGAAGGTACTAGCAGGAGAAATAAACATTTAAACAATCAGCATCGTGCAAGGCAATTTATTCCAACAACTAGCAGATCACGAAAGACCTGAATCAAAAAATCCCAGTGAAGCCCCTCTCGTCCAGATTGAGAAGCCCCATGTTCTTGTACTAGACATTTGGTCCACTTTAGTTGCAAGAATTAGGCGAGTAATAGATGAATGAGTGCAAGAGTGAAAGTGCAAACAATGAATGTTCTATTTCAATAAAGCTTAGTTATGCTTGGAACTCTGTGTGCTCGTGATTTACTAAAAGATTCTAAGACGTTGTTTTAATTGGCACCTATGGAAAAATTAGGCCAGGTAATCCCATTGAGTGTTGAACACAGGTTTTTCCTAAATAAATTCCATACCCCCTTACCAGAGCTGCACAAAGTTAGCTCCTTCAAGATGCCCAACACCAGTCATGCGTGAACTGCTATTCAAAGGAAGTGGGAGGAGTCTGACGACACAATCAAAGGGAAGAGAGGAAAGAGAGTGACTGCAAATAAGTGGGACTTACAAAACCATAGGGCAAGTCAGATTTTGGGAGACAATTCCTAAACACTATTTGTTATTATTAAGATCTTTTTCTTATATTTTGTTTCCTCTAGAAAATTCTGCAATGTTCTCCAAACAATTTCTTTCCTTTAAAAGTTCCTATAATTAGCATGGGTTTGGATTTGGAGTCCATATACCACTTTTTTTTTTTTAGCCAAAGTTGCATCCTGGTTGTAATAGCCTGAGCCTTCATTCTAGCAGAAAACTGAACACAGTCTAACTTGGCTTATTTACTTCGGCCCATCCAGTTTGGCTGGGTTGTATCCTTTGCTCCCCAGCATCTTGCAAACTTTCCTACTTAGAGTAAGGAAGTCAGAATTTTGGAGCAAGCTATGTCTGCTCCTCTTCTCCATCTGCAGAAAGTTCTCTTCCCTATCAAATGGAAGGTCAGATTCCCACTAGGGTAGCCTTGTTTCTGTGGGATTTCTGATCTCTATAGAACCTCTTCCCCCATAGGTATCAGTTCAGAGAAGAGAAAGAGGTGGTCGAGGAAGATTGGAGTTCAAGTGGCTTCTCAAAGGATTTCCTAAGGGGAAAGACCTTTTACCCCCCCTAAGATGGAGGTGCTTAAAGCACTGGGCTGGGGAATTTAGGGTCAGGATGGAGATGATTCATAGACACAAAGAAGGGATCCAGGCAACTGGAGACACTGAATCAGCAGAGATTATCTGGCAAAGCCACCTCAGCACTTCAACTGCTAAAAGTCCCATCAACAAACGTTATGGAGGAATGGGGTACCCATTGCTCTCAGCTTCTGTCTGCTCCATTGCCCAGACTCCTTAGCTCCCTGAAGGAGCAGAAATCAGTCCACTCATGGTTCCAGGAGCTAAATGGTTTGTAACTGAACTTCTGTTGCTATACTTCTAGTGGCTGGCTCTGGTGGCTGAAGAGAAAAAGGTGGATGCACAAGGACAACCCTATGGCCTACAAATGGCCTGGTGATCTTGTGGTCTCAGCCATCAGAGAGGTCTTCAGACATTTACAGAGACAATCCTGAGCTGCTGTCTCCTTCCTGCCTTGCAGTTTTCTTACATCTACAAGGCACATATAAAAAAGAAAAGAAAGAAAGGGAAAAGGGAAAGAAAACAAAAAGGAGAAAGAAGAATTAAGCTAAGCAAGTATAGCTGGGAGCTCTCTGATGGTGTTTGCCAAGCAGATGTGAGAACTAATTCCAGCAAGGTCAGAAGAAAACAGCCTGAAATCAGACCAGTCCATTATCATAACAAGGGACAGGTAGAAATTGTTCTTCCCATTCAGACAAGCTTCTAGCACAGTACCACAGGTGGGAATTGCAATTTAACTATAAATAGGGCACACATATGACACAAAGCAGTCACTGCAATGATTTTGTAATGATTTCATTAATTCTTGCAATAAACATATCAAGAGATCAGCATCTTTAAATGCCTGTCTGCAGTGCAGAGAAGCCTCACACCGGAATTGGCAATGCCTTCTACAGTTAAAAACTAAATTGATCAACTAAATAGATCAGTTGTGTTTTCAAAAAAGGGTGGGTTAAAGTATGAACAGTAGCACTGCCTTTCTGTTCCAGATCGAATTTTACCCACACATATTATCAAATTTAAAAGTATTACCTTTTTCAAACAATGCATATGCTGTTTTATTGCATTTATTTTAAGTATTTTTGCTATGTTATTACTTGATCAAGGGTTTTAAAAATAAAACCACACACTCTCCCTGCCATTAACACATGGTTGCTTTTTGCTGGCATAAAGCTGAAAACAGAAGACATATAAAATCAAATTTTATTTTCTTAAAACTTAATGTGGATGAGAGTGGACAAATTATGAATAATTTGATAGCGATTAAGAGGATATGCAAATGCTTGTGTACACCACTGAACCAAGTTCAAGGTGCTAGTACTGAGTTTTGGGCTCTGTACAGTAGTAATATCCGATGGATTGCCTTGTCTTTGGTAAACCTGCCCAGTAACTAAAATTTGAATGGCAACCATTTGTGGAACTCCCTTCCTGTCCAGGGAAGAAACAACTTCAAGTCAACTAGCAAAATTTTGGACCAAGCTACCACTACAATTTGTCAGGAAAACAAAGCAAAATAGTATCTGAATCAATCATACTTGACATGTAATTTATATACACCCATACAGAACCTCAAGAATGAGCTCAAGATATAACA